TTCTATGATCCAATGGATGTTGGAAATTTGATCTCTGGTTCCTCTGCCTTTTCTAAATCCAGCTTGAACATCTGGAGGTTTTTATACCTTAGGTTTGTGCAAAGCAAGGTGAACCTGTATGCAACTGTGCTGTCTTACCTTTCCTGCCTTCATCTCAGTGGGCCACCCCATTTTTCTGGGTGTCACTCTGTTGTCAGGTCCCTGAGGCTGGTGACCTTGGCTGTACCTTTGGTTTATTTTCTTCCAGCATTTCCACCCACAGCTAATAATCATGGCCTCAGGCATCTTCCTAGACAAGGTTTTTTTCCTCTCAGATGTTCTTTCCTGCTGCTATCTCTTCTAGGACAATATTGCTTACCATCTAAGCCCGAGTATCCCCATTTTCATGGTGATAAGAATCACCTGTGGCAACCTCTGTAAACACAGTGTCTTGGGCCGCGTCCCCAGGAGAGTTTGATCTGGGGTGTTGCCAAGTGTCCGCTGAGCTGTCCTGTTCCCCTCCCGACTCCCTCCCTCCCTCCTCCGCCCCAGCCCGGCCCCTGAGCAAGGAGACTGAGTTGTCTCCTAAGGTCACTGGTCCCCTCTCTTCTGCTTGTCCCCTGCTGGTTCCTTGCTCTTGATTTCTCAGTCACCCAGACCACCTCTTCCTTTCTGAAACCCCTTTGACCACTTAGCATTGTCCGACGTTTAGGACTTGCCCAGGCTCCTTCAGCCACTTCTCCAACTGAATCCTTCCTTCTTCCTTAGAGCAGAGGCTGCAGAAAGGTGGCCTGTGGCCTGACAGGTTTTGTTTCTCATCTGGTCTTTTACAAGCAAGAAAAAAGTCTGAGGCTCCACAGCCTGGGTAGAGGTGGCCCTTAGGCAGAGAGCAGCTGGAGGTTGGTGGCTGGGCCCTTTGGCCGGCCTTCAGTGCAACACAGTTCTCACTACTCTTTCCTAGACAACCTCTTTCTCTTTTCCATCACTTCCCTGGCCGTGGGGCATTTGAGCCCTGGACCACCTTTTGGGAGAGGCACTGTTCCCTTCTGTCTCTTTGCCATGCTCTTTCCCACTGGGAATTTTGTTCCCCTCAAAATTCTACCCCTCACCCAAGTTTCCACTCCTATCCTGCCTGCTTTGAAAACCCTTCCCTCTGCCTTCGCCTCAGCCCCCATAAGTGCCTGCCCTCCTCCTGAACACTCCCCTCAACCCAGTTGTTGATAAATGCCTTCTGCTGTCACCAACTGCGGTTCCTTACTCTTGTCTAGATGGAGAACTTGTCTTCTTGACAACCCCACCCCACCCCACCCCCCATACCACGCATGACAGACATCTTTCTTCTTACGCCCTTTGACAGGGCTTAGGCATAGACAGGAGTTAGCTGTCTTGGCTGTGTTATTCAGGAAACATACCTGGAGCTTCCCAAGCAGCCTCTTAAAGTTCTCCTATAATTGCTCTATTGGGCTAAAATAGTCAGTCCACTACTAAATTTCTCCATTGATTTGGTAGGAAAGCATCATGGAGCATGGACTTGAATCAGGCTACCTGGCTTCATGTCTCTGCCTTGCCACTGAATAGCTCTGTGACCCTAGGCAAGGTACTTGAACTCTCCAAGCCTCAGTTTCCTCACTTTTATGTATGTTTGTATGTATATACATACATATCTTTTAAAATTAAAAAGTTTCTTTTATTGAGGTATTCTTGATTTACGTATTAAGTTTCAGGTGTATAACACAGTGATTCACAATTTTTAAAGGTTATACTCCCTTTATAGTTAATATAAAATATTAAGTATATTCCCTTCACTGCACAATATGTCCTTGTAGCTTGTCTATTTTTACAGAGTAGTTTGTGCTTCGTAACCCCCACCCCTTTCCTACCCCTCCTCCCTTCCTCCTCCCACTGATAACCACTAGTTCTCTGTATCTGTGTGTGTGTGTTTTGTTATATTTACTAGTTTTGTTTTTTTATTCCACATATAGGTGATGTCATACAGCATTTGTCTTTATCTGTCAGACTTATTTCACTTAGCACAGTGCCCTCCAAGTTCATGTGTTGTTGCAAATGGAATAATGCAACAGCAGTGCCCCCCTGTGTGGGCAGGCAGCTGTGGGAAGAGCCTGGGCCTAGCTCAGAGCTGAGAGGGGTCTCTCCCACGTCCACAGACTGGACCCCTGAAAGGGGCCTTGCCTACTGACAGTCTCTTGTGAGGCCTCCATGATGTGATCTGGACTGTTGGTGGAGGCTGTGGCTCGCAGGTGGGATCTGAGAGCAGCGATGGGTATGGTCACTCCAATGGGAGATAAGACTCTGGCCTAACAGGAGTGGACCGGGAGTAGGAAAGCGTGCCCATGGGGACCACGGTGTACCTGAGGGCGTGTCGTTTGGATGCATCTGCAGGTACCCTCAGTGGCCCCATGTTGCCTACAGAGCAAAAAAATCAGAGTCCCAAAGGAGGGTACAGTGTCCTTCGCAGGCTGATCTCAAGCCACCTTCTCGCTCCTGTTCCTCCTGGTGATGCTCCCCACACTCTCAAGGTGTAGCCACACTGAGCCAGTTGCAGTTAGTGATGACAACACTCTAGGCAGCCCCACTAACTTCATGCCTTCCTATTGCGCTAAGCACAGTACTCGTTTAACTTGGTTAACCTTCAGCAGGATCCTCAGAAGTGGCTAATTTCATTCTAATTATATGTTTGAGGAAACTGAAACACAGGAAGTTAACTCACCCAGGTCATACAACTAGTAAGGGTGAGCCCAGATTTGGAGCTGAGCCACCCAGGAAAAGAGCTCGCGGTTAACTTCCCTTGTTGCCATCCATGCCCCTGACAAAGGCTGCACTTCGTGCTGCTTGTGCCTTTGCCTGTCAAACTCGGTCACACAACACCTCCCCTTCCAAGCCTTTTCTGGCCACTCCCTTTTCTCCCAGCACCTACCCAACAGGAGTCTCTCCTGGTCTCCATCTTTGTTATGACAGTGAGTAGTTTTAAGTCATACTTATTTATCTTTCTGCTTCCCTACTGTGTAGCATCAGTTCTTGTGGAGCATCTACACATCCCTGTTTTTAAATTGGATCCCCACTGATGGCCCACAAGGCATGCAGATTTAGTTTTATCAGAAACCTGAGTCTGTTGATTGCATCTTTAGAAACAGAGACAAGAATAAAACACCTCTGAAATGTTACAGGGTTAGGGAATAAACTTCCCAGGGTTTGCAATTGTGAACTAGCTAGAAACAGAGGAAAGAACTGCTGGTATTCATGAAGTACCAACTACAGCCCTAGGAAAGGTATGTGTTGTCCAGGGAGAAATACAGACTAGAAGAAAAGAAATGGACATACATTGCATGGACCAGGCCCTGAGATTCTGTTGCCTTCTTTGGTCTTCCTGACAACCCACATGGAGATAGGAGGGCTCTCGTGTTAGAGAAGAGATCAGGCTCAGCCAGGTCTAAGGGGCGCGGATCCAACCTGAGGTCCGTCTTTTCTTTCCTCTACGTCCAGGGAAACAGAACTTGGAAAACACAAGACAGTCCTTGATCTCGGGGAATCCTGGCCAGTTTGGAGAGACAGTACTGGGGCTGAGTGCTTTAGGGGTTTGGAGGAGAGGGGTTGCCTGGGTTGGTAGAGTTGGGGGAAGGGGCATTCCAGGGGACTGAGTGAGCAAAGCTTGGAGGAAGTATGTTCACAGGTGGCATCAGTCTGCAGTGGTGTTTTAAATCCCATTCTGGAGAGATTTGGCTTTTAGTCAGTTCTAATTTCTGAGCAAAACCGCCAGACACCTTGTAGCTCTCTGCTAGTCTAGGTCCTCAATCGCTTTCAGAAATCCTGGCACCAAATCTGCTGTGGAATAAAGATTCTGCCTGATTTTACGGAGGCAATATTGTCCACCTCACACACCAGGTACTAGCCTAAATCAGAAGGCTCTGGGATGGATCACAGCTCACAACAGGCTTTCCATCTCTGCAGAAACCCTTGTTGTGGTCCACAAAGAGGTCCAGGAGCCAGTCTTTGCCCTCTAGTGTGACAGCTCAGGTGCTAAGGAGAGGAGATTCACGTTGAGTGACTGCAGGAACTTCTCTGGTCTACGTCTATGCTCCATGGAGGCTGGCCCCTCTAGTAACGATATCATAAACATAGCTCCCAGAGTCCTCACAAAAGTCACACACGCAGGGAAACCCCAGCCGTGGAGTCCCCATTCACAGCTTCTTCCAGTCCAGCTGCAGTTACCATGTGGGTTGTAGTTAACCATAAGCAGTGTTGCTTGGTTATGTATGTAATTGCTCTATTTCTTTTATCTGGTCTCCAGGAGAACAGGTGGATAGGAAATTAACTCATGCTGAAGGGAAAAGGCTTTGTTAACCCTTCACCCACAGTGTATACTGTGTATTTGGTAACATCTCCAGCAGGGTGCTTCCCATAATCAGGTATTAAAAGTCCTGCAGAGAAAGACATTGCATTAATAGAAACACAAAGTGAGATAATTCGATGAAATGAACTTCACATCACTCAGGTTAAGTTTTTTAAAAATTATTTATTTATTTATTTTTGGCTGTGCTGCATGGGCTTTTCTCTAGTTTCAGTGCTTGAGCTTCTCGTTGCTGTGACTTTTCTTGTTGTGGAGCATGGGCTCTAGGATGTGAGAGTCAGTAGTTGCAGTTCCCCAGCTCTAGAGCACAGGCTTGGTGGCGGTGGCTTAGTTGTTCAGTGGCATTGTGGTGTCTTCCCGGACCAAGGATTGAACCCATATCTCCTGCATTGGCAGGTGAGTTCTTTACCATTGAGCCGCTAGGGAAGCCCTTCAGGTTAGGTTTTGTACCAGTTGAGTTACATATAACCTTCCAGGGTTCAGAGCGCTAGGAGTTGGGCAGTATTTGGAAAGGGATCACAGACTGAACGCATTTTGCCCTCTTAAATTCCTTGGAACATGAAAGAAGTGCGAGTTGCCTGCCTTACCGCTAGAGGGCACCTGGTTACTATCATTTTCCCCCAGGATCCTTGCTAACAGGTTTTCCTCACTTCAGCTTGCAGATGCCAGCAAGTTACCTAACCTGAAAGAACTTCTCCAGTCTTCAGGAGAAAAAGACCCATGGGCTTGGGACCTGATGAGCTGGATTTTATCCTCAAAGGTCCTGACAATCCACAGTGCAGGGAAGTCGGAGGTGAGACTTTGGTGTATAGGATCACAGATTACTGAGCCTGGAGAGCTGTGGGACCTCTTTGTGCACCAGCGTGACCTGGGCAGCTTGTTGGAAATGTAGATTCCTGGACCCTGTCCCCAGAGATTCTGATTCTATGCCTGGAGTGAGGCCCAGGAGTTTGCATATTGGCAGGGCAAAGCTGTGTTCTCCCTCCTTACTAGCCGTGTGACATTGAGCGGGTTACTGGGCACATTTCGGTACCTGAGTTTTCACTCTGTAAAATGGGGATAATAATAGTATGCTTCCATCAGTGAACTGGCTCTGAGAATTAAATTAATATTCTCACTTAGAATAATACCTAAGGACACATGCTAAGGGCTCAGAAAATGTTGGCTATCACAAGCACCTCAGATATTTCTAACAAGGGGGGGATCCTTGACCACAGCTTAAAACATTCCAGCTCGCAGGAAGCAACGAGGCAGACCGAAGTGATGGATAACCTCAGGCTCTCGGTTCAAATTCCATCTATTATTTAGTCTTCTGTGCCCTATTTGTAAATTGAGAATATTAACAGCTCAGAAGGGAGCTATGACAGAATGTGTGTCACCCGCAGCATAGTTTCTGGTACAGGGCAGACAGTCCGTAATTTGGCTTCCCTTGCCTGGCTGGGATCTTGCAGGGACAGGCTGGGACGACAAGGGTCAAAGTGTAGACTGACAGATCGCTGATCTGGTGTTCTTACCTCTAAGTGGTAACAGGGGTTTGTCTGTACCATTCTTCACTTAATCATTTTTAATTTAAGAGCATTTGATTTCATAAGTTCCTGCTAAAGACAAAAATGCTCCTTAAGTGGCATAGATTTTGGTATCTTGGTTTCTGGTGTCTAGGGACATCCTCCATCCATGATGGGTGGTAAGAAACATCAGCATCCTGGAGTGGGAGTCAGGATACCTGTGTTCAGGTCCAGGCTGGGCTGCTAACTCCTAGATGGTCTTTGGGTTTCACTTTTGTCATCTGTTAAATTTAGATTTACTCCTTCCTCATTAGGGGTTTACTGGCTGTTGGGTGTTGTAGGCAAAGTAGATAAAGCAATTGCTTCTTGATGTTTGATTATAGAGCAGTTAAATTCCATTAATATATGAAGTGTTGGGATCCAGTATTATCAACTTTTTATTTGCCGTGCCCAAGTAAGGACATTAGTCTATCGCATATTATTTTACAAAAGGATATTTTAATATGAAAAAGGGAGGGTGGCCCTGACCTCCAGCTAAAGGATAGTTCTTTTAAAGAAGGGCTCATGGCAACCTTACATCAGTGTAAATATATCTGTGAAATTGCCCTTATTTTTGTCATTTAATGATAACCCAGAGAAAACTTTACCACAGACTGACTTTGGTCTGGGATGTACTGTTCGAAAATTTCAGAAATGATGTGGTCTCTGCCCTGAAGAGCATTATTACCCTTTAGGAAGGATTTCATCCTGCATGTCAGTTGACTTCTGCTGCATCACAAACCATCCCCAAAATCTACTGGCTTGAAACAACGTGGACTGCTGCTCATGATTCTCTGCGTGGGTCGGGTGGTTCTCCTGAGCAGGGCTGGCTCACGTGGGGCTGTCCTAGGGTAACCTCACTTAAGTGTACGGGGCTTCAGCTCTCCCAGCTGAAGGTGGCTGTGGCTGGTGCCTGCTTCTGCAAGGCTGTCATCCTGCAGAAGGTTTGCAGGGCTCGTGAAGTGTTCCCAGCAGCAGACAAGAGAAAGGAAAGCTCTTTTCAAGTCTCTGTTTGCCATATGCTTACCAAGGTCCCGTTAGCCAAGAGAAGTGAAGATTTAAGGGGTGGAGAAATTGATTCCATCTCCCGATGAAATCTTGGTGGAATTCCACCTGCAAAGTCACATTGCAGAAAGGTGAATGGACAGGGATGGGAGGAACAATTCATGGCCAGTTTTGTAATTTATCACACCTTTCTAGCTCCTGATAGTATTGTAAAGATGGAATGCAGGAAATAAATGTGAAAGTGTAATGAAAATTAGATGTGATCTTTAGTTAGAAGGTACAATTCATGCTTCTTAGTTAACCGACTGTAGGGGAAAACACCATTAGAGGAAAGCAGTCTTGAGCTGTAGGCTCTGAACTTGTTTATGAACTGATGTTTTTATTCCTGTGAAACCAGTTGTTCTCATGAACAGAGCCCATAGGAGCTAAGCCCAAGGCTTTAGGAGGCCATTTTGGCAGCACTCTTTACCAGCTTCCCAAATAAAACTGCGACTTCCTGCATGTTTTCAAGTTTGAAAAGATCCAAAAGCTGACTGGTACCCCTCACACACCTGTCCCCGTGCCGGACTTCCTGTTTGAAGTCGAGTATTCCGACCCAGCCAACGCCAAATTTTATGAGACCAAAGGAGAGCGCGACCTCATCTACGCCTTCCACGGGAGCCGCCTAGAAAACTTCCATTCCATCATCCACAATGGCCTGCACTGCCACCTGAACAAGGTGGGCCCAAGTCTGCTGACACCAGGGGGCCGTGAGGGGTGGTCAGAGCTGGTGAGGGTGGGGGCAGGTAGGTTCACCAAGGTCTTGCCACTCAAAGTGTGGTCTGTTGACCAGCAGCATCACCTAGGAGCCTGTGAAATGCAGAATCCTTGGCCCACCAGACCTGAGTCAGAACCTGCATTTTAATAAGGTCTTCAGGGGATTCCTCTGCTGATGAAAGGTTGAGAAGTGTTTGCTTTAAAGATGGTTCCCAGCCTTGGCTGCACATTTAGAATTGCTTGGGGGAGCCATTAAGAGTCCTGATGTCTGGCTACGTCTCCAGCCAATTAAATCAAAATCTCTGGGAGTGGGGCCCAGGCACCGGTGTGCTTTCGGAGCTCCCCTGGTGGTATGGCCACCCCTGTCTTCCCAGCATGATCCCTGGACCACATCACTGGGAGCTTGTTGAACACGTGGAATCTCAGGCCCATCCAGACCCCATCATGTGAGAAATCACAATTTAGTAGACTCCCAAGTGATTCATATGTGTGTTGAAGTTTGAGAAGTACTTGCCTCGGGGACCCTCCCAAGAGAGTTAATCATTGAGGAAATTGAGAGGAGCTCCCTCCTTGAGCTCCCCCGCACCTTTTTTTGAGGAGGGGGTGCTGTGCTGGGTCATCATTGCTGCACATGGGCTTTCTCTAGTTGGGGCAGGCGGGGCCCACTCTTCATTGGGGTGCGCAGGCTTGATTGCCCCACGCCATGTGGACTCTTCCCAGACCAGGGGTCAAACATGTGTCCCCTTCATCGGCAGGCAGACTCTTAACCACTGTACCATAAGGGAAGTCCCTTTCCTCCCTTTTTTAAAATGGGCAAATTTATTTAACCTCTCAGAGCCTCGGGGTCTTCATCTGTAAAATAGGATGCCATTCCCCACCTTCTGGTGTCCTGATGGGACTGAAACACTTCTCATATGCAGAGGGCTCTTCCTGTCCTTAAGCACCAAGGAAGCAGGGGCTTCTTTTAGAGGCTGAAGGAGAGGGACTGTGGGGGTGGTTGGAGGGCTGCAGCTTCTCCCTTAGTTGTGTCAGCATCGGCCTTGTCTGGGGGCTGGCTCCATGAGCTGTGGACTCATTTGTAGCTGACGCAGCCCCAAGGCAGGAGAGACTTTTCCAACACTGTTGCAGCTGATTATCGCAGTTGGGTTTTGTTGAGGAGGATGGGCTTGTTTACTTTGGCTCTCAGCTTATTATGGCCAGGCTACTGGAATGCAGGGGCCCTACACTTCACACTAGAGCACATCTGAAGAAGTTGTCTGCCAATTCCAGTCTTGTAACCAAGCCTTCTCCTGGTTGAGGGGTTTGCTGCTTAGAAGCATCTCATCAGAGCCCTTTGGTGAAGTGGATGTTCTTCTGGCCTCTGTCTGAGTTTTCAGTGAGGGGCTTGCTTGAGGGAGCCTGCCTTCCAGTTGAAGCTCTAAGAGTGTTTCCTTGGTATAGATACTCCCAAGTTTCCTGCTGTTGCGCTCCCCTGCGCATGGTTCTTGAGTCTAGGGAATTGTATATACATGGCAGGCATAAGCAGAAATGGGTGTAGGGTCAGATCAGAGAATTGCCTCCTTGGAGAAGGTCTGTGCTAGCTTTTGAGCTATGGGGACCTTGTAAAATGGCCAAGCAGACGCTTGCTTCATTTCCCCTAAGCTTCACTTAATTGGTTGAGAATTGTGGAAGCCTGGTGCCACTGAATAGGATGTTTCTCAGTTCTCAAGCAGAGGATGTTCAGTGAGTTGTGTAAGGCCGTTCAGTCATCTTAAGATACTGACACTGAGGCCCAGAGATAGAATTTGACTTTCAACTTACGTCAAATTCCATCCACTGGTAGCAGTTACTTGGAATGTTGTGCTGAGAAGGAGTCTGAATCGGTATGAATGAGTGCCATGATTGATATTTTTTTTTTGATTGATATTTTTAAATTGGCATCGTGATTGATTATTGATGTCTACCATGGGCAAAGGATGTGTTTGCTATGCCTGCTGTAGCCTCAGCTTGGAGGTATTTCACTTGAGAGGTTTCTGTTTTACTTGGCCTGCTTCCTTGTGGAGGACAGCAAGTTAGCACCTACCACCAGTGACCTGCCTCCTAGAATTTTGGACCTTTTCTTGGTCTGCACCAACACAAAACTTAACCCTGCTTCTCATATAGTCCTGCCTTATTTGGTTACAGTGTCTGGTCTGAGAGATTCATTTCTTTTCCAAGTAATGACTCAGATTACTTCCCCCCATGTCACTTAGGTGTGACCCCTGCGCCCTCCCTGCACATAGGGGCATGACTTTGCTTCTGCAAGCCAGTCAGTGTCACCATGCTTAATCCAGTCGTGTAGCAGGAATTACTGATACCCCAAGACACAAGAGCCTGTGATGGAATACCCACCCCTCTCTTGGGCCAGGTATTCTGTGTGGTGCTTTATGTGCATCGTCTCATTGAATCCTTGCCTATGACCTTGTGAAGAAGAGATTATTATCACCACTTTGTAGGTGTGGAAACTGAGGCCCAGAGAATTTATATTACTTGCTATCTTGTTAGAGGGGTAGGCAGGGTTCAAACATGGGTCCGCTTGGGCTCTTAACACCTGTGTTTTTCTTACTCAGCCTTAAGCACTAGAACTACTAGTTTGCCAGGTTAGTCAGCCACATGCACAGTCAGTTATACTGTGGTCGGATAGGAATGTGTTTTGTAATAACACTGTGATGATGTCATGGGATTGTTTGATCTTATGTCTTTTGCTGGGGGAAGGAGAGGCTGGAAGACTTTGTGTTAACAACTCTACTGAAGAAAGACCTGTGTTGTTTTGCTGCACCCACTCAGCACTCACCAAGCCCTGTTTGTTTTCTGTTGATCTCCACCGTTCCAGACATCCTTGTTTGGGGAAGGGACCTACCTCACCAGTGACCTGAGCCTGGCCCTCATTTATAGCCCCCATGGCCACGGGTGGCAGCACAGTCTCCTTGGCCCCATCCTTAGCTGCGTGGCCGTGTGCGAGGTCATTGACCATCCAGACGTCAAGTGCCAAACGAAGAAGAAGGGTGAGTAAGCACTTGGCCCTGACCTGGGCTGCAGGCCTCTGGGTGTCAGGCTCTTGCCTTTGACCCAGCTGTTGGGTGGAACACCCATTGCATGGCAGGGGATGGGCTGGGTGCAGAGCGGCGTAGGATAGAGCCCGCCTTCAGGGAGTGAGCCGTCTTCTTAAGGACTGAGCACAAGTGGAAAGGATATCACCTACTACAAGGCAGTAGGTCAGGAGTGCCAGCTGAGGGTGCTGATGAGGTCCACGGGATAGCTCAGAGGAGGGGACAGTCACAGTGAGTCCAAGTGCTCAGGGAAAGCTTTGGGATAGAGAAGATGAAAATGAATATGCAAGGCCAGAGCACTGGCTCCTTGAAGGCAGAACCTGGGTCTCATTCACTCTTGGGCACCTGGTGTCAGCAGGGAGCCTGGTATGCACTTGACATCCAGTAAACATTTGCTAAACTGAAGCTAAGGATGCATCTCAGCCTGTTCCTCCAGGCCGCTTTGCTGTGTCTTGGAACCCCGGGAGGATGCGAGGGGCAGCTGAGGCCATGGGGGTAAATTCTGGGTTCCCCAGTGAGCAGATGACCAGTGGGCCCCTCGGTGGCCTCTCTGGATCTCCCTTAAAGCTCTCAGACCAGTGGGCTCTCTGGATTTGTCCCTTAAAGTTCTGCCCGCTGCTGTTTTGTCCTGAAAGGCAAAGAAGTCAGAGGACTGTCATTCTAGACTCCAGAGCTGGCCTGTTGGTTCCACTGAGAAAAGGAGAATTGAGAACACTGTCTGTTCCTCGCCCCTAATGTAAAACAACTGAAATCCTGAGGAACGGGCCCAGGTCTGACGCCACTCTCACAAACCAGACAGCATAAGTATCTGCTTGTATAATTCTTAGGAAGTCTGCACACCGTGACATTAAACATAGGACAAGACCTTGTAATGTCTGCCGTCACAAAGCTTCGGCCTGTTGTGGGTTTTTTTGGTGGTGGTTTTTTTGGTTCTTTTTCATGTTACTAAAAGGAAAGGTTTTTTGTTTTTTTTAAACAAGTCATGGGTACGAAGGATGGAAGATGAGTGTTCTAGGAAGCTCGAATCCAGAATGGTTAATTTAAAATGCCTGTTAAAAGACTTGATTCACATCAAGCCCTGTTGCTAGTCCCAGATGATTTTTTTGTTGTGGCCATCAATCTGCTGCTTCCCTCTGCTTTCCTTGCTCAGTCTTTTTCTTTTTTACCCTCTTGTATCTTTTTTATTTTCCTATTCCCTTTTTGCTCTTCCTGGGGGTCTGTCTGTCGGACTCTCCTGTTTTTCAGTCCCGCTTCCTGTATATAGACAGGCCATTCCTCTGCCTGCCGGGGCCCCTCCACCCTCAGGATCAGGAGGCTTAACTTGTTTCTATTCATTGTTTGCTTTTGTTATTGCATTCCCCCCTGTAAAGTTGTGCTTTTTCTCCTTATTCAGATTCCAAGGAGATAGATCGCAGGAGAGCGAGAATCAAGCACAGTGAAGGGGGTGACGTCCCTCCAAAGTACTTTGTGGTCACCAATAACCAGCTCTTGCGCGTGAAGTACCTGCTGGTGTATTCGCAGAAGCAGCCCAACAGGTGAGAAGGACGGCCGCTGCACGAAGTCCAGGAGGACAGCCAAGGGCTGCCTTCTTGGGAGTGGGTTCCTGGTTGTCAGCCGCCCCTCTCCCTCAGCCTACACCGCAGCTGTGCACGAGATACAGAAAGCACTCTGCTTCATGTAAGGGGTAGGGAGTGAGGAATACAGATTGAATAAAACGTGGTCCTGGCCCTAGGGGACCCTAGGGGACTATATATTCTAGTGAGGAACAGCTTTGTTAACACAGATGACTTGAGGGACTGAATGAAGCTGAGACGTGAGACCTAGGCTCTGATCACAGGCTGAAATCCACTGATTGGGCTGAGCTGAGAGGTAGGGTGGGGCCAGGATTGGGCTGGAATTCTGATTCTTTGCTGTCTGGCTCAGTCACTTTCCACAGTGACTCTCAAACCACCACCTGCTCCTTTCTGGACCTGGGATGCTTCATTTTTATCTCTAAAATTAGAGTATTGAATCCAATAGCAGATGAGGCCATTCTAGCCAGTAAGAATCTGAGAGTGGTGGATTCCTCATGCTGTTCCAGCAGTGTGTATTTGGGGGTTTGGCAGGGCTCTCTGGGGTTGGGGGTCACTTTGAGATTTTGTTGCATTGTTGGGGGCTTAGACTCTACCATGATAGAGTTTCTCATGGGGATGAGCAACAGGTGAGCAGGTTAGACAGGGAAAGGGTTATCGTTAATACTCCCAACTCCTGCTTGTCAGTGGCTTCTATGCTTCAGGATTCAATAAACTAGTAAAATCGTCTCCCCTTAAATCTGGGAAATATGTACAGGGTTCCTAAGTTTGGCGGACAGTATCCTGTGGTTTAAAATCATCTGGCTTTTTCTACTTGAAAATTCCATTCCTTTCCCACTCCTTCCTGCAGTGTCTCTGCAGTGCACATTTGGATGGCTTAGATCATCTCCCAGTGGGTCAGAGAGGATTTCCCCTGCTCAGAGTGATATCTGTGCATGTCTGAAAGTGAAAAGCCTTGTGCTAAATACCCTGCCACCTGCCGCCATCTGGTCATCTGCCTTAGCAAGGTCATCTGTCTAGATACCATAGTCTTGCTTAAGAAAAGACTGGTTATAAAAGGTTTAAGAGGAGCTATAAAAGAAAAGATCAGGATGAGCTCATTGCATAGCTGTCTTTGTACATTTAGAAAATGTTCTGGTGAAAGGCATGTCAGCGCCAGGGCAAACAGCTCCAGATTTTTTTGAGCGAAGGAGCACGCATGAAGCTTCATTTCATGGCTCACTCAGAGGATGAAATTCATCATTTCATCTTCTCTGAGCCAGAAGTCGTTGCATACCCTTTAAAAAAATATTTTTCTCTTTGTTCCAACATCACTCCTCCCCCACCCCCCTGAAGCAGGGCTTCCAGCCAGCTCTCCTGGGTCTCCAGCCATTGGTTTACGGTCATGATCACCCTGTATCTGCTGCTGCTGCTCACAGTGAGTGTCATCAACTCCTCAGCTTTCCAACACTTTTGGAATCGTGCGAAGAGATAATCTTTTTGGGCCTGGTGTGGGGGCCACCTCAATCACGTGCCTTATGATAACTCGTTCTGTACCTCCTGTGCCCCCCATCCAGCCAGGTCGAGCCCGGGGGCCACTTGGGGACCACAGGACAATTTTCATATGCCATAAATGTATCAATTGCCTTTGACGATGCTCTCCACCACTCTTGTCAATGGAGGGCACTGGCCCCTCTTAGCTTTTAGGAGAGGTTTCCTGTCTGTTCTCTCCCTAAACAGTCTGAGGGAGTTGGCTTTTTTGCCAGGGCCAAAGGAGAAAGTCCTGCTGCATTTGAAAACAACGTGTCTAGGCTGTCTTTGGGGTGTTTACAATTGCTTCTGGTGGACATCGGCCCTTCTCTAACGCCTTCTTGGAAGGCAGAAAATGTGTAGTGGGGACTATAAATCACTAGGCAGTTGCCTTGTTTTGACTTGAGACACCCAAGAGGAACAGTCCTGTTTCTCATAAAACTCGGTGGGATCATTTTGAATTCCATCAGCCTTTGTATGTGAGTGCAAAACACTCTTCAGTTTTCTCACATCAACAAGCAGTCCTCTGCCACAGCTGTAACCCCTCCACCCAACCGCGCATGAGAAAGGAAGGAGTCAGAGACCTGATAAAAACGATGAGCAACTCACGTCGTCTTTTTCTAAAAATTACCAATTGCTGATTACAGCCTAAATGGAACCAAATGTTTGTTTTATGATTTTTTTAAAAAAAAACTATTTGACAGTTTGTTTTTGTGAGCTAAAAGGGGATATTTCTAAACCTAGAGCCCAATTTGGCCAGTGACCACAGCCTCTTTCCTGGCCGTGCTTTAGAGAAAAAGGATTTGAGCTGCAGGCCTGCCTCCTCCTCTCGTTCTCACGAAGCTGCCTTGATCGTGGCCCGTCAGCCGCAAGTGCCGCACCGCAGGCCTTCTGGGGGTGGCCGGCCTTTGAAACAGAGGCTGGCCTCGGTGTGCCGCAGGTGTGTGGGGGCCACGCCTCCCTCCCAGGGCCCGCAGGTCTCTGGGACTCGGCCTGAGCTTTAAATGCGCAGGAAGAGCCTCGGACTGCTCCGAGAGCACTGGTTCTCCCTGCTGTACTCTCTGCCCCTCCTTCCTGCCAGGGCCAGCCGTCACGGAGCCCTGATTTTGGGGGGAGATTTCTGTAAAGAAGATGGAAAGTCATTTTTCTATAATTTGTGAAGTTGTGGAAAGGCCACAATCATGGTTTCTACATTGAATATTGGAACATTTCAGAAATAATAAAGATATTTTCCTAATTTCCAAGTTGCCTTTGTGACTGCTTTCAGCCTCAATGCGAGGCTGCTGTGTATTCATCATTGTGAAAAATTTCATCCTCTCTTTCCTTCCATGTTTGAGGTGTCCATTTTCTGGAGAGTATATATCTCTAGGATGTCCATAGGCATTACATTTATAGTCATTGATTTAGCAAATATGAGCACCTGCTGTGTACCAGGCACTAGAAACAGGAGCAGCATCAGGTCCAACTACCCCTGCCCTCATGGAACTGACAGTCTAGCGAGGTAGACAGACCAACAGACATTCTCAGGAGTGAAGTCGGCATTATAGGATGTTATAAAGGAGTTCTGGAAAACAGTTGACAAGGTATCTTAACATGGTCTGGGGTCACCCTGGAGCCTACAAGGCACCTTTCATGTACTGATTTCTTTAATCCTCACAACAGATAAGAAAGTGAAGTCCCAGAATGTTGAATAGCTTGCCCAAAGTTACATGGCTAGGGAGTGGCAGAGCTGAGGGTGGAACCTGGCTTCACTGTCAGTCTCGTAAGCGCCATGCTATACAGCCCCCCTGGGCTCCCAGGAAAGGGGATGTTCACTGACTCCTGAAAAAGCCATCAGTGTTAGGCTAAGAGGTGGAGGAAAAGTGTTTCAGGCAGTGTGAATAGCACATGCAGAGACATGGAGTTTTTGCTGGAGAAGCTAAAAGCAGGATGGGCCATAAAGGAAGAGGCTATGGTGAGAAGTGGGGCTGGAGAGATAGGCAGGGGCCAGATCATGAAAGACCTTAAAAGCAGTGGGCTGGGGAAAGCCATTAGATTTTAAGCAAGGAAATGACATGATCACATTTGGTTTGCAGAAAAATTACTTTAGCTGGTAGTTGGAGAATGGATTTAGGAATTATTTTGAGGATTAAAAGAATTTGACAGTTACAGTAGAGCAAGTAACTGATATGTTTCAGCTGCTGCTGTTATTGTTATTTGTTTTCAGTGGCCCAGCAGAGGAGATTATAAGGAGGAGCATGCAAAGTAGAGCACTAATGTCCAGGGACATTGGAACAGTGACGTGTCACAGAAGTGAAAAGGAAGTCTTGGTGAGCAGTGTCAAATGCTGCCAGACAGTCGGGATTATACCAGAGAAGTATTTATTGGATTTACTGAGTTGCGGATCCTTGGTGAGCTTGGCTGGAGCAGTTTCAGTAGAGTGCAGCACACGGGATGTGAACCAAGTCTGACTATACAGCTCTGACAAGAGCACAGCTTCCAGGGGTTGTCAGACAATACTTATTTAAAAACTAGCCCCCCTTTTTCTGAGGTTTCTGTTCTTTTCCACTTTCCAAAAAAAAAAAAAACAGTTGTACAATACCTGATGTGACTCTGGGACAGGCACTGAGCTTATGATGGGGACAGGAGGATGATTGAAGAATGGTGCTGACCTCCAGGAGCCTCCAAGCCAACGGGCCCCAGGGACAGATAGGTTTCTGTATGAGGGAAGGAAATCGCTGGAGCCTGGAGGGTTGGAATGGACATGAGGGAAGACTAGGACAGGACAGGGCCACTTTATGACTTTCATGAGCCCTGGGCACTTTTGCCTTCATGGGCCCCTTTATCTAAAAAATATCTAAAATTATACTTTACGACTGTGTTGGTATAAAGATGAATGTATTACTATTATATACTAAAATGTTTTCCTCCATTTAAGAGCTCATCCCCCCCCCCCCCCCGCCCCCCGTTTCTTTAATTGGCTGTACTGGGTCATAGTTGCGGCACCTGGGATCTTAGTTGCTGCATGTAGGATCTAGTTCCCTGACCAGGGATTGAACTCAGGACCCCTGCATTGGGACTGCAGAGTCTTAGCCACTGGACTATCAAGGAAGTCCCTCTTCCACTTTTAAAGGGAATTAAATCCTTTTTGTGATGTGGACTCTAGGCCCTATGCCTACTATGCCTAGTGGATGAGCCAACTCTGGACGAGGGTCACGGGATTGTGTGGGGTCCTGGGGGGTAGTGTGAGATCCCTGGGTACCTGGGGATAGAGAGGCAGGAAGGAAACAAACCCTAGTCTCAATTCTGTTTAGCACCAACTCCACATCTAAGGCAGACCCTGTAGGCCAACAAGGTCAGGACAGGGCAGAATTGGCTCCTGGGAGTTGAGAGTTCAGGGGGCTCACGCTGCAGACACTTTCATAGAGGAGGAAGCACCTAAGGTCTAAGAGCCCCACCAGGCAGCTGGTGGCAGACGAGACCAGATGGTGGTTCATTTGGAGCTGCCTCTTATTAGAGGCCCAGCTGCCTCGGTCTTCTCAAAGCAACCTCATCAGCCTCTGTCACTAATGCCACTGCCAGGGACGGGGTGAAGGGGACAGTTACGGGAGGTGGCAAGTGGACTTGTCACCGGCTAGGTCCCTGCTTCTGAGGAGTGCCAAGGGTCCCATGAGCTGTCACTTTCCACCACAAAAGGAAGGATTTTACTCTGGGCTTTTGGATAAGTGTACATGTGTATGTGAGAGAGATGTGGAGGAGGGATGTGGCCCATTCTTGTTTCTATTTAGTTAAACACTGATTGCCTGCAAAACCAGTAGTGGGTGGGAAGATGTAATTTTATTTATTTATTTATTTATTTATTTATTTTTGCTAACAAAGCAAGAGATTTTATTGGGAAAGCGGAAGATGTAATTTTAAAAGCCCAATTCAGATCTTTTTCTTTAGAGCTTATCCATCTGAGCCCATTCCTGCTGCTAAGCCTGGGAAGTTTGTCCTGACTTGGAATCAGCCAAGACTCACCCTCCTCATTGCCATGGTGATTCTTGGTAGGGGGTGGGGTGGGGCTGGATCTAGGTCCCTAGAAAAAACCAGGACCAAACCTCTCCCTAATCCCCTTCCACAGCCCTCCTCTCCTGTCCCCTCCACCCTGCCCCACCAAGAGAGTTTTCCATCTCTTGGCCTTTGTTTGTTTTTGCTTTTGTCAGTCTCTCACCTCTGGATGGGTTTCTGTTTATTTCCAGACTGTCTGGGGCCGTGCACCAGGGAGACAGTGTCCTGGGCTGCCTCTAGCTCTGATCTGGTTAGAATAAGCCCCTCTCCTTCGCATGAATCTCCAACCTGACATTTGGAACATCCAAAATAAATCATAATATTCTGAAGTAAGATAGAAACCACCATCTCCACCCACTCCTGTTGGCACTCTTATCCACTTGGAAAGAGTTTTTAGAAAATTTCCAGTATTCCACTGCAGTGCCCACATAGCACAGCCCTGAGAAGGGGAAGAAGCATTTACTGAATACCTACTGTATACCAACCACTGGGCTAGACTTTGCTTGCATTAAAAATCTGGTGGTGAAAGTGATGTTTCCTGCAGTAAAATTTAACTGCAAGCTCTTTGAGGGCAGGGCCCAGGTCATCTGTGTAAACCCAAGTATCTAAGATATGGTGGAAGCTTAAGAAAAGCTTGTTGACTGAATAAATGGATGAAAGGATGAATGAAATTTCTTTGCCATAGTAGAGGGTAATGTCAGCAAAGATGATTGAGGTCAAACAAGAAAAAATTCATTGGTAAGCCAGAACAGGTGGATGAGGGTTTCAGAGAATTTTGTGGACGTTTTTCGGTTGATTTCAGAGTCTCATTCTCTGTCACCAAGAATACCTTTTGGGAGTAGTTTGGGGTGGGGAGGACAGAGTCTTTTATTTTTTATT